ATTTGGGGAAAGAAAGGAAGAACTACTGATTGAGCCACTGTGTGGTTCTTATGTGGGGACAGTGTGGGGAAGGGGCTGGTGACGTGTTCTAGAGAGAGAAGGTACATCTGTGGTGAGATGGGGGGATGCAATGTGTATGTGTATAAGTTGTAGATTGACCCACGTGGGCGTAAAGTGCACTGGAGTGTACTGAGTAGGTGTAAGTAAATCCTTAGACACATGACCGACATACAGCAGTCCAAAACCTCACCAGGAGAACACAAACACGGAGCGAAACTGAGCGTCCCAACTAAATATAGAAGAATCTCTATCCTTGACTAAAATTACCACAAATTGTACTCACACTGACAGTTGCTACTATGTCGCAATTTCCCAGGCTGTGTAATAAAAGAGAACTGTACTTCTTGTTTTCTACCTACCTCAGAAAATTGCTATGGACTTAAAAGAATCTAAAGTTTCCCATGTCATTGGCACTGTGTAAAATAACTGCCAGCATCGAAAACTCTTCCGCAGTTTCCTCTAACTGGAAAATGCTAAATTTTTACATGTCTTACAATGTTCCCTATCATTAGTGGCCTTCAGACTAATTAACACGGCAAAAAGTAATGCTGAGCTAGCCACGACCACGAGCAAATGTCACACAGTCCTTAACCTCTGTAGGTTATAATCTTGTGGAAATTTATCTTCACATCTTTTTTTTTTTTTTCTTTTGCGGTACGCGGGCCTCTCACCGCTGTGGCCTCTCCTGTTGCAGAGCACAGTCTCCGGACACGCAGGCTCAGCGGCCATGGCTCACGGGCCCAGCCGCTCCGCGGCATGTGGGATCTTCCCGGACCGGGGCACGACGTCCCCTGCATCGGCAGGCGGACTCTCAACCACTGCGCCACCAGGGAAGCCCTCATCTTCATCTTTGAGTTGTATGAACATTCACTTCCGTCTGACTAATTTAATCACTCTCCCGAGCATGCTTCCCTCCAGGTCTTGCTCATTCTGGAATGTCGGCCAGCCGTCTTGCCTGCCTAACCAAACATTATTCTTCCTTTGAGGCCAGATTTAATTCCACCACCCCATAAACTCTTTCTTACCCTCAGGCCCATGGTGAGCTCCTCTTGCTTGGAACTTGATCACATGATCTTCACCACATTATTTTTGACTTACTTTCGTGATGGTTCTTAGTCTAGTGCAGGTTATGAATTGACCTCTCTCTCTCTGGTAACATTTTTTGAGTGCTTATTATGTGCTAATCCTTTGTATTCAATAAGATTGAAAACATTATTATCCCCATTTTAGAGATGAGAAAACCGAAGCTTTGTAACTTGCCAAGTGTCAATTTGAAACCGTGTGGCTAAGTGCCTAGCTATAAATCTGGGGTTCTATTATTATAGAGGAAGAGCAGAACAGGTATTGGGGACATCTAGCAGTCTCTGTCATAGAGAGATGTCAGAGAAATATAAAATGGTCATCTAATAAACGGAAAATTGTGATAAGTGCTACGAAGCAGGAAGGATTGTATAAAGAGCTCATGCCAGGGCTTTGCAGTGGGAAGTCATAGAGAAAGAACTAGAAGTGGGCTTTGAAGATAGGGGCATTAGTTATTCTATTGCTATGTAACAAATTACCTCACAACGCCCATTTATGTTTTTATTTTTTATATCAATTTATTTATTTATTTTTGTCTGCGTTGGGTCTTCGTTGCTGCGCACAGGCTTTCTCTAGCTGTGGTGAGTGGGGGCTACTCTTTGTTGTGGTGCTCAGGCTTCTCATTGCGGTGGCTTCTCTCGTTGCAGAGCACGGGCTCAAGTCGCGCGGGCTTCAGTAGTTGTGGCTTGCGGGCTCTAGAGTGCAGACTCAGTAGTTGTGGCACATGGGCTTAGTTGCTCCGTGGCATGTGGGATCTTCCCGGACCAGGGCTCGAACCCATGTCCCCTGAATTGGCAGGCGGATTCTTAACCACTGTGCCACCAGGGAAGCCCACACGCCCATTTATTATCTCAAAATTGTATATGTCCCAAGTCCTATGTTGTGTGGCTGGATTCTCTGCTCAGTATCACAAGGCTGTAATCAAGGTGCCAACTGGACTGAGTTCTCATCTGGAAGCTTTGGGGCAAATCTGTTACCAAGATCATTCTTCTTGTTGGCAGAATTCAGTTCCTTGTGGCTGTGGGAATGAGGTCCATGTTTTCCTGCTGTCTGTCAGCCAGGGCTAGGCTTAGCTCCTAGAAGCTGCCTGCATTCCTTGATATGTGGCCTCTTGCATCTTTAATCCAGCAATAGCTTGTCAAATCCTTCTTGTGCTTCTAATTTTTAATTTCCTCTTCTGTGACAAGCTGGAGAAAATTCTCTTCTTTAAGGGGGCTAATGCGATTAGGCGAGGCCTGCCTCGATAACCTCCCTATCTTAAATTCAACTGTACTATATAACGTCATCTAATCATGGGAGTAAAATCTATTATAGTCGTAGTCCTGGGGATTATACCAGGGGCCGTAAATCTAGGGGGACATCTTAGAATTTTACCTACCAGAGTAGATAAGACATAGACAAATAGAGAGAACTTTCTAGGTGGGAAAGAAATGCAGGCAAAACTCAAAAGTGAAACTCCACCACAGATTTTTGGATATTAGAATATGTCTGTTTGAGACTGCTCCAATAATAATAATAGCTTCCTTTTACTGAGGTCTCCTTGGTGTTTACACAAATTCATTCACCAATCCATATATCAGCTCTATGAGGGTGGTATCATTTCACTTTTACAAAGAAAGAAATTCAGGCAGAGAGAAGAAAAGCCACTCACCAGAGTTCTATCCCAATCAAGTTGTGAAGCTGGGATTATGGCTTGAAGTCTGGATGACTTCCGAGTTTGTGCTCTTTGCATTGTGTAACCCACCTGCCTGTGGGTCTGGATGGGAAAGCAGAAGGCAGTAATGTCGGTCTGAGCCCAGTCTGTGGAGGTATTGACGTTAAAATGTATTAAAATGTGTTAACAGGTGCCGTGGAAGATTTTAGAGGGTGCATGTGAATTGTGGGGGAGGAAGGGGACAGAAGTGGATATGGATGTGAATGGAGGGGAACACATGGACTGGATATGCAATATGGTATTTTAGGGAGGTTAACATGGCCAGTCAGGAGGAGCCTGGATTACAAGATTGTAGGCAGGGATGATATGTTACAGTTGACAACTACATGATCCAGTCTCTGAATCTCGCTGCCAGCTTGCAGGAAATTCACAGAACAGAAGAACGTGTTAAATTGCACATAAGTATACAATCAGCAAAGTGGAGGCAGTGTGAGGATTATAGAAAACAAATCGTATACAGTTCCATCACCCAATATTATTATTACTAATGTGAAATAGCGAACAGAGAAAAAAGCTTTGGTAGCTATGGTAGGACTAGAGAAAAATTTTAATACATTTGATAAGAAACTCCATAAGGAATGGAAGTTCCTAGGGAGTTGTTTAGTAATTAAGGCAGTCATGGTCAGACCTATGTTACCAGCTATGTAACTAGGGTCAGTTTCATAGGTGTGCAATCAGTGTAGTTACACAGGGCCCTGCACTCAGAACTTCACATTTGGGGTCAAATGCTCTGCAATCATTGTCTGTATTCTTAATAATTTTATCTTTGAATTTGTATTTTAGAAGAGAAGTCCAATGGGACAATTGGAACAGGCACTGGGGGCTTGGAACCTCAGCTTCTACATGGTCCTCCCTTCTACCACCAACCTAAATGTCCATAACTAGGGAACTGTTCGATTTCAGGCAATGGCGTACCATGCAGCCATTAAAAAGAATGAGGTAGACCTGGACCTATATTTACCAGGAGTGAGACAACCAGGGGATTTTAATTAGGGGGAAAAAATATCAAATTCCAGGAAAATGCTTAATCCCATTTACTTAGAAAATATATATGTACAAGATAATGAGTAGATAAAGGTCTAGAAGCCTGAACACCAAACTTTAAACTGTGAATATCTCTGAACTCAGGAGTGGGTGGAGCGTGTGTGTGAATGAATGGGACGCTTATGCTTTCTCTGTGCACTTCTGTGTTTGAATGTATTACTGAGAGGAAATGGAAAGTGTATTTTGAGGGCGTCGTGTGAAGGGAAAAGTTGGGGACCAGGGTGAAGACTTACAACTCCCTGGTCTCTTCAGACTCCAGCGCCCTCTGAGGTGAGGAGACCCCACCCCGCTGAGGTGATTCTGCAGAGGGGCGGAGCTCTGCAGAGCCAACACTGGAGGCGGCCCCGGGGGGCGGGGCCCCGACTCCAGCCGCACGCTCCGCTCCCACCATGCCCTTATAAGGAGCGCCCGGCGTTAGGGCTCGGGAATCCGGTCGCAAACCCCGCGGTTCAGAC